ACAGAAATAAATGTAAAAATAAATAAATGCAAACATAAGAATAAATGAGCAAATAAATAAAAAGGAAATAAATAAATAGGGAAGAAATTAGTAGGGAAATAAATAAATAAATAAATAGGGAAGAAATAAATAGGGAAATAAATGAAAACAGAAATAAATGTAAAAATAAATGAATGTAAACATAAAAGAATAAATGAGCAAATAAATAAATATGAAAATAAATGAATACGGAAAATAAGTAATTTGTCATAAATAAATAAATAAATTCTATTTATTTATTTTTATATTTCTGTGCATATTTATTTATTTTCAAATGAACCTGCACATTTATTTGATAATTGTGCATTTATTTCTACATTTCTGTCGTTATGATTTCATTTGTTTGTTTATTATTTATTTCATATATTTAAACATAAAATTTCGGAAAACTTGTAAACTAAATTAAAAATAAGTTGTCTTACTGTAAGTAATCAGCTGTGGTGAATTCTATTAGTTAACTAGTTATTTAGTGTATTTTTAGTGAAGCTGTTTTTCTTTCCGGTGGGGGTTTTATTTTGAAAACTATGACCGGAAACAGTGTTGTTTTCTATTTCCGGTTGTCTTCCGGAATAGTGCTACAGTGCAGCCGGTCGTTCACTTTCATAACAGCTGAAACGTTACGTGTTTACACGCAGCAGTAACGAGTTGTTTTGCCTCTGTAGCTTCTGTCGTAAATGAAACACGTGAGAATGAGTCGACGCTGAAAGTTTCGTCTTTACACACAGTAAATATCGGTCCTTTTCTTCTCAGTCACGTTAGCTCGCTTTGTTTTACTCTAACACACGTTTTAAATCTCAACTATTCTGATATATATGTACATGTATATGTTTGTGTCATAAAGTGACATGTATTCAGAAATCTTAGGAGCTATGCTGAAGTCTGTGACGATATATATAATGAAAATTTACCTTTTTTTTATGGTCTAATATGTTTCTTTGTGTTATTATTTAATTATGAAATCACACTAAAATCTCATTTATAATGGGAGGCCTGATACTTAATGACTTTTCCTAATTTTACAAGAATATACAATTGCCATTTCCAGCTGATGACATGTTTATGAGAAGTCCACAACCAAAAAAATAAATAAAATAAAATGTGAAAAAAAATCCAAATAATTAAATCTGATGACTGGTCTTGTTTCTGTGCAGGTGCTGAGGATGACAGTCCTGAACTTGTCCTTTGCTGCGTGTGGTTTCGTGGGGATCTACCACCTGGGTGCTGCGGGGGCCTTTCTCCGCCATGGTGACAAGCTGCTTGGCTCCCTCAGGGCCTGTGCGGGGGCCTCGGCCGGGGCCCTGGTGGCTGCCGTGATGATCACAGCTCCTGACAAGTTAGAGGTAGAGTGTTTGCCTCCTCCTTGGGGTGGAGGAACCTTCTTGTGGTCACATGCCTCCGTTAACCAGTAAGTTTGCAGTTGTAGTTTAAATCCATGTCAGTCCAAAATCACATGTTGCCATGGCAGCCATTTTAACACATGGATGCATCACACACTTCTTTAACCCGACAGCAAAGAAGATCTACTCATTATCTGACCAAATGTCTCCCTTTCTGCTCCTGAGTGATGACACTGTCACAGTGAAGTTTACTTTTGGATCATTCATTCATTTATTTGGATTCATTGTTGAGTCCAAGTGGACATTTGTGCCAAACTTGAAGAAATCCTCATTAGATGTTTGTGAGAAATCATGTTCACAATACAATGGATGAGATAACAGTGACCTTGACATTTAAACCAGTGACCACTAAATCTAATGAGTTGATCACTGAGTCCAAGTGGATGTTTGTGCCAAATTTGAAGAAATCCTATTAAGATGTTTTTGAGAAATCATGTTCACAAGAATAAAATGGATGAGATAACAGTGACCTTGACATTTAAACCAGTGACCATCAAAATCTAATGAGTTGATCACTGAGTCCAAGTGGATGTTTGTGCCAAATTTGAGGAAATCCTACAAGATGTTTTTGAGAAATCATGTTCACAAGAATAAGATGGATAACAGTGACCTTGACATTTAAACCAGTGACCACCAAAATCAGAGTCCAAGTGGACGTTTGTGCCAAATTTGAAGAAATCCTTGTTAGCTGCTTTTGAGAAATCATGTTCACAATACGACGGATGGGATCACACTGACCTTGACATTTAAACCAGTGACCACAAAATCTAATAAGTTGATCTCTGAGTCCAAGTGGATGTTTGTGCCAAATTTGAAGAAATCCTATTAAGATGTTTTTGAGAAATCATGTTCACAAGAATAAGGTGAATGAGATCACATTGACTTTGACCCTTAAACCAGTGACCACCAACGTCTAATCAGTTGATCACTGAGTCCAAGTTGATGTTTGTGCCAAATTAAAAGAAATCCTGGTGTTCTAGAGATATCGTGTGCATCGTGTGTTAAACTGAATGAGGTATGATTTCATCACAGCGTTTGTTTCCTTCTTTTCCAGAATTGTAAAAACTTCACATACAGGTTTGCTGACAGCGTGAGACAACAGCGGTTTGGAGCCGTCACACCAGGATACGACTTTATGCTCACACTGAGGTAATTACTCAACACTGGTGTGGGGCTGAGATACAGTGACACAATGAGATATCACCAAGCTTTTAAAAACCTTTGATGAGCATGGTCCAGTAATGAGCCACAGAAAATTTGGTAGTAATCCGACCTTCGCTTAGGGAGGTGAGGTCAAAAATAAAATATGTTGCTGTAAAACGTCCAGTGTTTATGATGATGTTTATGATATTACTGTGATATCTGTGTGTGGATCCTCCCCAGGGAGGGGATAGAGGAGATCCTGCCCAGTGAGGCTCATAGTCTGGCCACTGACCGCCTCCACATCTCAATAACACACTCTAAAAGCGGCAAGAACCACATCATATCCAGGTTTACCTCCAGGGAGGAGCTCATAAAGGTACACACCCCCACACTCTGGACACAACGCTGAGCTGTGCAGTTTAAAAAGCAGTCATAAATGTTTATGACTGTTATGCGCCCTTGTTTTCTTCCCTTCTTCTTTCCTGTTACATTTACAAGTAAATGTTATATGTTAGATGTAACCAAGATGTTCAGTGTAACTCACCCTTGTTTGTGCCTTCCAGGCTCTACTGGCCAGCAGCTTTGTACCTGTTTATGCTGGACTCCAACCAGTGGAATTCAAAGGACAGGTAATGGGAATTTTGTCCAAAGTAAAAGTGGTTTCATTTGTAGAATTTAAGGTTCTATAAAAGTACACTGATCTAGACTCAGGTTTTGTTTCCTTAGAAATGGATTGATGGAGGGTTCACCGACAGCCTCCCAATTCTGCCCGTGGGACGAACCATCACTGTGTCTCCCTTTGCTGGAAAACATGATGTGTGTCCCGTCCACAGGGGGCGCTTCGACACTCAGCTCAGGCTGGCCAACATGAACATCATGGTGAGTGCTGGATCATTTGATCAGATTAGTCTGAAAGGGGGAATCCGACGAATGGAAAGGTTCTGGCGATTGAGGGTTCAAGGCAGCTTATAGATTACCTCTGATTTATAGTCTGATTTGAGTTATGCCACTCCCATTTTTTTTTTTTTTTTTTTTTTTTTTTTTGCATTTGTAGTGCGCCCTAGCTACTTATATGGACATGTAATGACCAAAGTTTCCAGACAAGATGAGTTGAAAGAGGCAGCCACTTGCAATGCACTGTTCTGCAACGTTCTCAAAACCTGCCGGTTCACACCAATGCAACTAGATGAGATGGTGTGTCATCGCTATGCAACAACTCTCTGTACTTCTGTTCTGATTTGCAGCTTTTCAGACAAATTTTGCGGCTGAATATAATTTGTCGCTTCTTAAGATATGAATGAGGATAGTGATAGTGAGATGCTGGCTACAGTTGCATTTTTAGTAGTGATGAAACGGCAAAAACCAGAAACAAAAGTGAG